GGGAGAGGGGACATCAACAGGGCCCTGCACCTGTGATCACAGGTGTGCCGCCGGGGAACAGGCGGGCAGGAGGGCTGCAGCCTTCTCCTGGGATGCTGGTGAGTCAGTGAGGGACTCCTGATTCAGGGAGCCGAGAATACAGGAGGAGCCAGAGGAACATTCCGGAATATGGCAAAAGATCCAAGGCAAATTCTCTGGGGTCGTGTGAGCTAGAAAATGCTAGGATGCAAACAAAGGTGTTGGAGGGACATGCTTGCTTGGGACACCCACTGGGGTGCTGATGAAGCAGTTTAGGGGTCAGCCCTGCAGGGAAGGGAGCTCTCTGAGGGGTCTGGGCACAGAAGGTGGGGCTTGCTGGGGATCCTCAGGGACCCGGAGAGTGGGGCTGGTGTCACAAGGAATAAAGGATGGCGACATCTTTGGAAACCTTGGGAAGCTGCAGGAAAACTGGGGCCAGAGTAGGCAGGGGAGGGAGCCACGGTGATCTTCCCTGCACCTACTGGCTCTGGGCTGCAGTGGCAGCACCATGGTCACTAGGTGGTGCTACAGGACAGCCGGAGCTGGGACCGCGACCCTGGAGGGAGGGACCCCAGACCCTGGAAGGGCGGGATTGCAGGCCAGGGAGGGAATCTAGATGCTGCCTGAGGCTCCAATGGGCCAGCTGTGTTCTGGGTGTGCAGTGGATGGCGTGTGAACCTTGGAAAGATGCTGAGGTGGCATTGCCCGGGGACAGTGGGCACCAGGATGGGTTACAGCAGTGCTGCACTCCTGTCCCACAGTCTGTGTGTGAGATAGTAAATACCTGGGGCAGGGGACAGGCAGGGGTCTCAGGGCTCAGGGGCTTCAGGGTTGGCCTGGATGATGGGGGAGTCCATGCAGGCTGGGGGTGGAGCATGTGGACTGCCTCACCCCATCTTGGGGATATAAAGCTTGGTTTGCCAGGTGGGTCCCAGGAGACCGGAGCTCCAGGAAGAAGACTAAGAGCTGGTGGCTCCTGCCTGCCACCCCCACTTTCTGAGAGGCCAAGGCAGTGGATCCCTTCAGGTCAGGAGTTGGAGACTAGCCTGAACCACAGTGGGACTCTGATTATAAAACTAGCTGGGTACCTCTAGACCCAGCTACTCAGGAGGCTGAGGCAGGAGGATCACTCAAGCCCAAGAGTTACAGGTTGCTGTGAGCTATGATGTCGTATCACTCTACCCCGGGGAACTGAGTGAGACTGTCTCAAAAAAACAAACAAAAAAAGAACCAAAACACAGAAACACTAGGAGCTGTGATCAATTTCTGAAGGGCTTTTCCTCAACTCCGTGAGACCCTCCTCTCCTCCAGTTCTAAAGCAGCAGCCAGGGCTAACTGGAGGAGCCAAAGGCAGAGGGCCTGCCCTCCCCTCTCCTGTCCCCTGTTTTTCCTCCACTCTTTTCCCTCCTGCCCCCCCTTCTCACTCTTTGCTCTCCTTGCTTCCTCAGAGTTGCTGTCCTCACCTCAAGCTGTGGCTGCCCAGGGGGTGGGCCTGCACTTGGCCTCTTCCCTCTGGGGTGCTGGTGACAGAGAGGGCTGACCTGAGATGGGGCCACGAGTCACACCACATGAGGTTTCAGAAACTCTGCTATCTCACTGACACTGATGACACAGGTAAACTCATGTCCCCAGGACCCAGGGAATGGGGAGTCCCTTCTGAGCACTGGCAGAGGGGAGGCCTGTCCAGGCCACCCAAGGCTCTCAGCTGGCGCACACCAGGGCCGCAGGACACCACTGTTGACGCGGCCATCACGCCATGCCTGCCTCATCTTCTTAGTGCGATGGTGGGGGCCTCAGGCCGGTGGGGCCAAGGAGGAGCCGTAGCAGGAGGGACAGGTGGGCTGACGTCCTGCAAAGGAGGCAGCAGTCAGGTCCAAGGGTGGGCAGGGCAGCCAAGGGGGCCGAAGGAGCCTCTCCTTCCCAGAGCAGGAGGAACGGGAGCAGCTGGGCCAGGGCAGAGGTGGCACAGAGGGCTAAGGCTGGTCAGCATGGCAAGCGGGAGGCCAGTGGCTATGTCCCTAGGTGGGTAGGTTTCCTGTGGCTGTGGGATCTTGAGTTGGTTGTGAGGAAGCAACAGCTGAGAAGTGTCACGGAGAGGCCTCCAGTGGCTGCAGCCACATCCAGAGGCATTCCCTGTGCCAGCCTGTCCTGGTCATCTCATTCAGGGCATATGGCGCTTAGACCCACAGTTACGGTCCTCACATTAGGATGAGAGGACACAGCAGAGCTTGCCAGGGGCTCTAGGCTGGTGGCATCTCTGTCTTGAGGCAGCAGTATGAGCCAGTGGTGGAAGCTTCTTGCCTCCCAGTCCTAGAGGCTGAAGTTCCAGCCCCAAAGGTGGGCAGGGCTGGGTCCTTCTGTGGCCTCTGTCCTTGGCAGTTGCTGTGTCTCCTCCTGGGTCCTCACAGGGTCATCCCTCTGTGCCTGTGTCATCTCCCTTCTCGTGAGGACTCCAGGCAGAATGGCTCAGGGCCTGCTGGGCTGACCTCATTTTAACTTTATCACCTCTGTGAAGACCCTATCTGCAGACACAGCCACATCTGGGAGACTGGTGGTGAGGACCTCACGTGGCTTCCCCACTCTCCCTGCCCAGCACCATGAACCTCCATCTCATGTGTGGGGACATGTGGTCCCCCGTTTAGCCAGTAATGAATCTGAAAGGCCAAATTTAAGAGGCCCAGTCCAACTCCTGCCTGAGGGTGGCCTGCAGAAAGGGGGCACGCCCAGCCTAGCACAGCCTCCTGGAACAGGACTTCCATGCGAAGCAGCCCAAGTGGAAGCCCCATAGGCTCTGTCCCGGCTAGACAGCTGTCCCTGGTCCCTGGCCTGAGGCCAGGCCTTCTCCTCTGGCCCCTCTACCTTGAGTCCCTGCCTAGTAGCCCCCACCACATGCCCACGCTGTGGTCACAAGCCCTCAATTTGTACTCAGGTCCCAGTGACAGAAAAGCTGATGCTAATGGGAAAATATCACTCTCCATGGAGCAGCCCAGCCATAAAGGCCGGGGTCTTTCTTGTCTAAAATCATAATTCAATAGATTCCAGGCGGCTAGGCCTCCAGGTTTCCATGGTAACAGCTGCCTCCCACCTTTCTGTTTAGGGCTGGTGTGGGAGGCTCTGGAGCTGCTGCTGCGTCTGGGGGAATCCACTTGTTTACCGACAACCTGATGGGCCCTGGACATGGTGGTGGCTCCACATGGCTCGCCCACCCCTAGTCCCCAAGTGCCTGCCCACCTCCTGCCGGGTCAGGAGGCCCTGAGAGCGTGGGCTGAGCCTGGTGGGGTGTCTTGTAGACTGGGGTGGTCAACAGTAACACCCCCCAAAGATCCCTGTACCCTGCTGCTAGAAGCTGTGACTATCAACTCAGCAGGGAAGGGACTGAGGTTGCAGATGAAATTAAGGCTGTGATCTCAGGGGCCTAATGAGTGGAGGAGGGAGCAGGAGACTCAGGGCCGAGCCACTCTTGGTGTGGGAAGGGGACAGCAGCAATTGCTGGCCTTGAGGGGCAGGAAGGGGCACAGCCAAGGGACAGTCAACCTCTGGAAGCTAGAACAGGCAATGAGCCTCCAGGAGCACCGTCCTGCTGTCACTTAGGTTTATCCAGTGAGACCTGTGTCACTTGGGTTGCTCTAAGGTGACAGTGATTTGTTACTGCAGCCACAAGACACTAGTGAAAGGGGGCTTAGTTAATCGGGGGCACGGCCTCCAGGTCCCACACCATTCTGTGGTCCCGGCCCCTCCTCCGTCAGGTCCCTGGAGCCTCTGTCCCCAGTTGCCCTGCCCTCAAGGCCTGAGCTGTGCTTGTACCAACAGGACCACTCAGTCTGGTGGCAACACACATACTTGGCCAGTGGGGACTTCCCCAAGAAGCCCGTGAGCCCCTCCTGAGTGAGGAGCACTGTGGGTGGGTGGCCCAGCAGGAAGGGGGCTCTGGGGTGAGCTTGGGGCAGACGCCTGCTCTGCATGTCCTCCTCTTGGGGGTGTGGTCTGCAGTTGGCACCTGGGCTGCCCTCCCTCGGCCATGCCCCCATACCTGCTGATGCAAAGGTCTCCATGGGGGGCTTGGGTCAGGGGAGGACTCAGTCCTTGCCACCACCCAACACACCTGGCTTTGGACAAGTTACTTAACATCTGAGCCCCACTTTCCAGTCAAAGGGGTGACAAGAGCTTGTCCCCAAGTGCCTTTAGGAAGCAGGTCTCTCAGGTCATGTGAGGTGGGGCTGGAGTCACTGTCCACCCAGGACCCTCATCTCCTGCTGGCCTTGCTGCCTCTGCTGTGGCTTTAGAGATTCTCCCCCCCCACCCCCACATAGAGCCTCCTACTGGGGAAAAGGCTCCTGGGCACTCACTGTGTTCCCAGATTCATGACAGGAAGCAGCTGCATCTGGTCCAGGGGACAGGGCAGAAAGGACTTTGCAGGTGTGAGAAGGTGAAAACCAGCCCAGCTGAGGTTGGCACAGGGGCTGGTCCAGGCTGTGGCTGGAAGAATGTGTGGCCCGGAGTGGGTCACAGTTGCTCCCTCGTGGGCACCCAGAACCCTGAGCCATGAGCACAGGTGGCCTTTGGAATCGGACCTTTCCCGGGAGCCTCAGGAAGGGATGCAGCACGATGACACCCTGATGCCAATGCATCAGATGTCCAACTGTAAGACAACTTTGTGTTACTTTAAAAAAAAAAAAGAGATACAGAAATGGCACCAGGAGTGCTCTCTGGGGCAGGCCTTAGGGAATCGCACAGCTCTTTCACCATGTAAGCTCCTTATTTAGGGATCTTTTCTTGAACAAGCGGTTTAAGCCACAGGCGGAGCACTGCCCATGGACACGCCAGGGCTCAAGTGGCCCTGGTGCTGCCCTGGGCAGTGACTGCGACACATGCTGGGAGCCCCAGGCGGCCCTGGGACAGCCAGCCACCTGCAGAGAGGACCTGACAACATCCCTCAGCTGGGGCAACTCACAAGACAAGCCACCAGCCAGTCACTTCTGCACTTGTTCACGTTTTATTAACAGTTTACTGTTTGCCATTGCTCTCAGTTTCACATCACAATTCCATGTGCTGTCAAAGTCTTTTCAATTCTCATTCTGGTAAAATAAATAGAGATAAAGGAACCTTTAGTTGGTGCTCTCTGAGCCCTGGGTAACTTCATGATTGGGTTTCGCATCAGACCTAGGAGGACATGGCCCTCGGTGTGGGGGGTGCAGGGGGGCCTTGCCCCTCTGCAGCCATCTGCACTTCACCAAGTGGTGGTTTTGTCTCCAAACAAACAGAAACGTGTCAGGTTAGAATCGAGTTGAACCACGGCGTCAGCCATGGCGGATCAGACCCCTCAGGTCTGTGGTGGAGCTTGGCTTCTAGACTTCTGGCATGTCGCCACCCTGGACTTCCATGGCCTTCCTGACCTCAGGCTGCCTGTACACCCCAGACATGGGACAGGACTTCATGCCAGAACCCCCTGATGGGTGCCCCTCTTCCTGGGGAGCAGGAGGATCACTTCCTCCACTTGCTAGTCCCGCAGTCCAGCTCCAGCAGGCTCCAGGCACCACTGGGCAGGCTCCAGCCACTGCGACCCACGGGACCCGCAGCGCCTCCTGCTTGCATTCCCGCCAGGACTGCCCAGTCAACAGATTAACCAAGACTCCTCCCTCCTCTCTCCCAATACTCCTGATTCCCAAGGAAAACGGAAACAAAGCCTTTTAAAATCCCATCATTATGGTTGTGTTCTGTTTCTTTGCAATTGCTTGGCACCTTTCTGAGGCCCTTTTTGGGGCCAGACTGGCCACAGGGCTGCCTGTCTTGCCCACATCCTCACAAGTGCACATGCACTGACACGCTGCAGCCACAGCTAAGGAACTCCTGTGTTACAGACCACGAGATGCAAACCATGGCTGCACCAGCGTGTGGGACAAAGGGCGGAGATGGGGCTGCCATTTACCCACAGACCTGTAGGGTTGCAGAGGGCTCCATATTTGCACGTGTGCAGTGTGGGGAAGCAGGGGGACACAGTGCCTGCACATGAGCCTGTGTGCAGACCATGGTGCCCGCACATGCATGTGCCTGTGTGGGGCCACAGGGCCTGGGGTGGGGGACATGGCAAGGCATGGGGAGGCAAGCCCTGGATGGAGGTCCAGGCAGTGGTTAAACTGCCAATGACCCACCACAGCTGCCCATAGCCAGAGCCTGTTCCCACTCATGCTGGGAGAGGGACTGAGGCTCGACCCCGAAGGCCAAGGGTGCCGGGGGTGAGCTGTGTGGGGTGGCCCACTCCCTCACCCTGTGGTGAGGCACCTCTTGGACAAGGACAGCCAGCTGAGTGGCCCTGGGTCACTTCCTTCTATGCTTGCCAGCTTTGGGGGAGCTTTGGGGGACGTCTCCATCTTGCCCTTCTGTGGCTCCTGTGTGGGAATGGTACCGCTCTCCAGCACACACTGAGAAGATGGTGGTCTGGGTGGGCTGCACTGCTCCCCTGCTTTTGGCCAGATGGGTGGCCGCCCCAGGGACCCGTAGAGCCCAGTACCACTTCTCCACCAGGGCTCCGTCTTGGAGCTTTTCTGGATCTAATGCTCTGATTACGTGGAAAATAAAACAAGTTTGTCTCCTCCTTTAAAAACCTCAGCAAAAAAAAGTGGGAGAGCGAGTGCGACACTGTGGCTGAGTACCGGCACCTGGGTGCTGGTGCTTGGGTGGAAGCCACTGTCCCACTGAAGCCCTCCCCTCCCCTGCCTTTCTAGACATTACAGCAAAGACACAAAGCAAGTGCGAGGCCCCTCCAGTCCTCAGCAGCTGAGGTGGGAGCAGCAGAACCGACGCTATGCACTCGGACGTGTGGCAGGTTGACTATGTACATCCAGCGGCCACAGCTGGCAGGGCTCCAGCAGCAGGGCCCTCAGTGGTGCCGCTATCTGACGCGCTTCTCCACAGAGTACACAGAGATGTAGTAATCGTTGCTTCCTACCGCCAGATGGGGCTGCAGGGAGAGAGCAGGTGAGTGAGTGGGCAGGGTTGGGGTGCAGGGCAGGGGCTTGGGGTATAGGATAGGGCTGGGGTGAGGGGCAGGTCCTGGGGTGCAGGAGCAGCCTGAGTGAGAGGCACAGGCTGCTCCTGCATGCCAAGATGCCAAGGCGGCTCCAGCCCAGGGTTCCCGCTAACCACCGCCCCCACCCCTGCACGGGAGACAGGCGCAGGAATGATGGGCCCATTAACTGCCAGTTTTTAGCAGGAATGATGCGTCATCCAAGCTCCATTATGGGGGATTTGCATACTACCCACAGTTCTCGGCATGTTTCTTTTCAGGATTGCCCCACAGGGACAGTTCTGAGACTCTAACGTGAAGCCTTGCACCGCAAGAAGGCAGCTGGCAGAACCCTAACTGTAAAAGCAGCCTGCCACCACACGGCGCAGCCCTGGGCTGTGTGGGGCCCTGAGCCTGCTTGGACAGGTGGTATCCCAGGGATGGCCCCAGAGCAGGGACCCAGGGACACCAGCTGTGCCAGCCACTGTGTCCTTGCTGTCTGTTGTCCTGAGTGAGTGCAGTGGGGGTTGCAGTGTGTGGCAATCCCGCCCGGTGTGCCCAGCCCACCCGGGAGGCACAGACCCAGTGTGGGTGGAAGGCCAGGCAGCTGATGGCGCCGACACGCTGTCCCATGAAGCCGTCGTAGTATTTGATGTTGTTGATGAGCTCCCCGCTGCCACTGTAGATGGCGGTGAACTGGTTCACAGAGCCACTGTGGGGGGCGGGGGGAGGGGCACCAACTTATCTCCTTTGGCCCTCACCAAGGACCTAGGGAAATCCCCAGAGGACTTCCAGGGGCCCAAGAGCTTGTCCTGGGAGGGCAGCTGTGGCAGGGAAGTGACTTTTGTTCTCTCTTTGGGACGGTGTGTTCAGCCCCCAGCCCTGTGCTCTGCTGGGAAGAGGCCCTGGGCATCAGGGTGGCACCTACCATGCGATCAGGTTCGCCTGAGGGTGGATGTCCAGGGCTGTCAGCCCCTTTACGATCTGAAGGACGTTCACAGACTCGGGCATCCGTGGGTCAAAGATACGCACGTCTCCATTGACGCTGCCAAGAGAGGGTAGCACTGACAACTCCCCCTGACCTGGAGCCCCCTGGAAGGACCTGGTTTGGGGCCTGGGTGACAGCCTGGACATGTGGGGTCACGTGCCTGTTGCACACACATTGCTCAAGGTCAAAACCACCTGGACCCTTGTGCCACCAGGGAGCAACAGACTTTCCCCTGCTAGCTATGGGCCTGGGCTGCCCTCCAAGAGCCCCAGTATGGCGTTCCACAACCCCAGAAAACAGCCTTAAACACAGCTATGGGAGGGGGCGGTGACCCTGTTCCCTTCCCAGGCATGGAGGCTTGGTCTGTGCAGCAGAGGCCTGTGGGCCTTGGTGTTCCTGCCTTCTGACCCTGGCAGGGTCCATCCCAAGAGTTATGTTGGGTTTTTAAATCACAAGCAAGGGACGAACAACGAGCCCTCTGAGGAGATGGTGGCTTTTTGACAGTAAATTATACTTTGCTGCTTCTTTAATCGGCAAATAAATATTCACTGCTCTCAGCCCAGAGCAGTGGGATTGAATTTATGTGCCCGAGACTGCTGGACAGCGCAGTAATGTGCCTGCAGACACGTCCCCGGCTGCCCCTACCCTGGGGGTGGGGACAACACACGCCCGTAAGTCTGTCAGGCTGCCCTGGAGGGAAAGAAGGTGGCCCTGCTGCCCTTTCCTGCTGCTCTCTCACTTTTCTGGCCAGTTCCGGAGCAGGAGTTAATTACTGCCCTGAAATGCCATCATGTCCCAGCTGCTTAAATACCACAGACATATTTTAAATGGAGGGGAAGATGTTTTTATAGCCAAATGTCTCAAGCATACCCACGCGTAATACCTGACACTCATGATGTGGCCCTCGGGGTGCTTCTGCAGGTAGGCCTTCACCACCCAGGCCGTGTGCTCCCGATACGTCATGACGCGGCTATGGGGAGGAGGATGTGTCAGGGCAGCCGCAGCAGCCTTGTCTGGGCCTTATTTCAAGCAGAGGGCCAGCAGGTTTCCATGTGCCCATTCCCCATGAGTGGCTAGTGCCCACTCGGGAACAGAGACTCCTCCTGGTCACCTCCTCTAGTGGGAACCCCTCGGGCCTTTTGGGGCTAGGCTTGGCCCCTGCCAAGCCCACAGGAGGACAGCCCGAGCTGTGCTGGAGCCATCCAGACACAGGGGCCTGCAGGCTGCTGAGACTCTCTACATTCTGTCAACTGTCAGATCTGCTTCTCCCCAAATTCTCACTGTCTGCAGGGCCAGGAGCAAGAATCCCAGCCCTAAGGCTGTTGGAACTGGAGACCAAAGGGCATGGGGCCTTTGACTGGGGCACTGGCAGGGACAGAAGTGTGCTGTCCATGGGACCTCCCAGAAACTCCATACTGGCCACAGCCTCAGGCCTAGAGAACAGAGGGCCTGGCTGTCTGGAGGCATGGTTGTGAGGCCTGCCTGAGGGCAGCCTGTTTCTCTAAGGCCTGGCTCCCTTACCCACCTCCAGCTCCACATATGTCCTAGAATGAATGTCAACGGGCATCCTACCCACTAGGTAGGCCACTCCAGTAACACTCACTGAGCATGGGGCTGGCTGGCTTGGCCCTGGGAACTAGAATAAAGCATGTTGCCCTTGGGGAACCAGATAGCTCCAGGGTGATGGCAGTGCCCAGGGAGGCTGCAAGGAGGGCTGGACTGTGTGTGTGTGGCCAGCAAGGAAGGACAGGATCCTGGGTGGCTGGGAGATGGCAGAGATGCAGCTTGGCGCCTCCCATTAGCTCTCTGGTGTTGACTTTTCTGTCCCCAGCCCTAGGCCCACCAGGGCCACCCTGCCAGGAGCCTGGGGTGCTGGGTCTCAGGTGAGAAGGGCCGAGATCCCCCTCTGTCTTAGCGGCTATTGTTCACCTCAAGTGGCTTAGCAAGTATGTGGCTCTAAGTCCCATGTGGCTGGCTTTGGAAGGCACTGAGAAGGCCTGGCTTGAGACTGCTGCCACCAGAAATACCAGGTGGTGATTCAGATCAGGGTGCTGTGGGCCTGGGGCGTGGCTGGGGGGTGAATGCTTCCATGGTCCCTCCTGCTAGGGGAGGACACAGAGCCTCGCTGACCACTGACGCCTGGCCGGGCCCTCAGTGTTGCTCTGTGTGGGTTGACTCCCGTGTGGCTGTCCACCCAGGCAGCTGCTTCCATGGGTGGGGCAGGCTGGGTAAGGAAGACACAGTGCACCTAGAATGTGCCCGCTGTCCAGTGGACTCCAGCATCTGCACAGATCTGTGTGCCTATCACCATTGATAGGTGATAATTTGGGGACATTTTCATCATCCCAGGAAGAAACTCCCAGTGGCTTTTCCCACCCACTGGCCAATGTGCCTGGGGATGCTCTGTCCCCTCCACTGGCCGCTGCTTTCCAGGACACAGTGGTTATTTAATAAAAGTGTTGTCCTGAGAGCAGGACTATGGGGCTGTCCAGACCTGGGCCAAAAGGTCACCTGCCAGCCTGTGGGGTCTTGGAGCTTGGCACACCTCTGCTAAGGTGGCAGCAGTGCCCGCCTAGAGTGTAGCTCTGGCTGCACCCAGAGGGCAGTCACAATGCCCCTCACTCATGCTGTGCTGTGCTCACACAGTGCTCCCAGCCTCTTCTCCCTGGATGCTGGTACCCACACCTAGAAGGTGGAGGGAGACAATGTCCCCAGTGTTCAGGTGTGATGCTGAGGCTCGGAGATCCCAGGCACCTGGCTAAGGCCCTGCCCCACTGGCCTCTAAGCCTAAGTCACGGCATACTCCACATGTTTGCCCACTGTATTATTCCATGGCCAGGGGCTCTGGCCTCCATGGAAGGCCCCAGCTGGCTCATATGTTCTGTTGTGGGCTCCTGGAGAAGCTTTGCCTATCACTGAGAAGCCTGGGCCAAGCAAACTGGCCGCAACCAGACACGACCATCCACAAAGAGCCAGGCCTGGCAGGATAAGAGGAGGGTAGTGGCCTAGTTACCATTCACTGAGCGCCATCCTTCGGTCGTAGACACGGATGGAGCCGTCACCGAGGCCGGCCACGATGAGTGAGCGGTGGGAGTCACAGGACAGACTTGTCACGCAGCTGTCTGCACCCGTAGGGATGTCCTAGGGCCCAAACACAGAAGCTGTGAAGACCCAGCCTGGAGCTCACCCTGCCGCAGCTTCCTGCCTCCCACGCAGCACTGGGGTGCAGTTGCAGCCAGGTGTCCATCTCCTCTCCCTGGCCGTGGGACTGCTGCCTTCATCCCACCGGGGGAGGCCCTTGAAGGCTAGAGGAACCTAGGAGTCTAGGAGTTGGGGGAAGGGCAGGGGCTGGCAGGAGAGCCAAGTCAGGCCTCATCCTTTCAAGTGGCAGCCCAGCTGCACCTGTGCCCACCAGTCTGGAGAGATATAGCCTGCAAGGTCTGGCCCCAGAGGCAGCCTGCAAACACCTCTGGGAATACTGGCATTTAGAGATAATTAAACTTACCAGCAACATCCCCATTTCCTAAAAGGAAAGATGAAGGGTGTTTTGGCAAAGGAGGAATTCTTGTCAGCTGCCTCTCAAAACATCAAGTGAGCTGGGGAAAGTCTTGCAGAGGCCCAACCACCACCCCTGGGGCCTGTAAATGCTAGAGGAGGAAGAGGAGGGAAGAAGGAGAGAAGGGAGGAAGGAGAGGGAGGGGAGGAGGGAGGAAGAGGAGGAGAGGACAGAGGATGAGGGGAGAAAAGAAGAAAGGGGAGAGGAGAGGGGAGAAGGGAGGAGAGAGGGGAGGGAGAGGAGAGAGGGTGGGGAGGAAGAAAAGGGAAAGAGAGGGGAGGGGAAGGATGAGGGAAGGAAGGAGGAGGACACCTACTGGGAGGAGCAAAAGAGGAGAGGTGGGGGCACTTTTCTACCCAGAGCAGCCTGCGGGACATGGTTGAGGAGGAAGCATGGGGGATCGACACCCTGTGAGAGGCGGGGAGGCCAGGAAAGTGAGGACAGCACCTGCCCCAAGGAGGCTACACGTGGTCAGAGGAGGACGAGTCCCTGGTAAGGGACCCTATGGGGAAAACTCAGTAGGCCCCATCTTCAGTGGGTGCAGGGCTGCCCCAGAAAGCAAGTGTGACTGAGGCTGTTGATGCTACGTCAGGATGGAAAGCAAGATAGAGGGGGCTGCCCATGGCAAGCTGGCGAGTGGCCCTGACTTGAGGAGAAGGTGCAGCTCCCCACAGGTGAGAGTGCCCTGGCCCCATGTGCTCCTGTGGGCACCTTCATCCTGTGTCAGCTCCGCCAGCATGAGTCCCTGAGGACAGCACGTGGCCTGCATCCTCCTCATAGGCAGGGGCCAGGGACCTGGGAGGAAACCTCTGGCCCTGAAGTCATCCCAGGTGCTGCCCAGAAGATCCCTGTCTGGCCCTGTGCTCCAAGCGAGATCCCCTGTGGGATCCCAGCATGTCTGAGGCAAAACCAATTTATTCCTCTTTTTGTTAAAACCAAAACCACAAATAATCATTCTAATTTAAAATATCTCACCCTACTGATTTCTAATAATCTCTCATTTGCCCAGAAAAGTATTTGAAAGTAATTAGGGTTAGTACTGGCTCAGTCACCCTGAGACCCGGGGCAGAGTCAGCGTTGCTGTGCACCAGATGGGTCTGTCTCTCCAGGCTCCCCCAGCGTTGAGTCATCATGTGTCCAGGCTCTGCCTGCCTCCACCCATGGGGCCTAAGACCCGACCCTGAGCTACGCTCACTCTGTGAACTCTCTGTGACCTGAGGGGCTGCTTTGTGGAGGGGGTGGCAAGGACACTGCAGTCTCAGGGCTCAGTATGGTTACCTGCACCTTCATCTCGCGGTCTGTGTCCCAGATCCGGACGATCCGCACATCCCCCGAGCTCATAAGGAGGCCAGTCTCTTGCTCCCAGTCCACCACCATCCCCGCTCCTGGACAGACACAGTAGAACACAGTGGCATTACCCCATGAGCCCTTGGGCGGGCTTGCGGGCTGTAAGCCAGAAGCTCCCAGGAGCGCTTGCTACCACCTGACCAATCAGATGGGTCCATGTCCCCCACACATGCTCAGGCAGGGACTCCAGGTGCACCCTGAGTCTAGGCAGGGGCAAGGATTCCATGGCTGAAATTCCAAGCCTTCCCCAGATCCCTGTCCTACCCTGGCATTTGTGAGAGGGTACCCACGCCCCCCCTTCCACATGCCAGGGCACAACTGGCAAGTCTGGGTGACTTTACAGTGGCCCCCAAGGTGTGAAGACCAGTCTTCTCTTGAGGAACTTGGTTGTTTTGGGAGAAACTGCTCTACACAGGCCTCACACCAGCGCTCCCGACAGCATCTCAGAGCTGGGGCTGCCGACTGACAGGTCTGCATGTGCAATGATAGCGTGTGAACCAGCACTGCCCTTCACATCTGGGGCTGAATGGGAGCACAGTGACCATGCTGTACATGGTGGCCTCTATTTAAAATGACATTTAATTTTAGCAGTTTAGGCTGGGCACAGTGGATCACGCCTGTAATTTTAGCACTTTGGGAGGCCGAGGAGGGAGGATCACTTGAGCCCAGAAGTCAAGGCTGTAGTGAGCTGTGATGGCACCACTGCATTCCAGCCTGGTCACACAAAGGGACCCTGTCTCTAAATATGGATGAATGAATACGTAAAATTTAATGACCAATACTCCATGCACACGCAAAAGAACATAATTGTCCTGTACCTACCACCCAGGACTAATGTTTGCTAACACTTTGGCATTTCTTATATTTTTAAAATTTTTTTATAAGAAGTGTAACTTCAGACATTGTGAGACGATCACCTGCCCTCTCTGCCTCAGGAGCTGTCCTGTGGTCTGAGCAGGTCTCCCAAGGGGACCCTGTGCTTCCTCACGTGTGCAAGTCCACAGACACCTTCCACATGTCAACAAAGTGCATCAGCTCAAAACAGAGCCTGTCTGCTCCCAAATGGGTGCCAGTCCCAGCAGAAGTACTTGAGCTATGGGGTAAAAAGTCCTTGTCCCTTTTGGCACCTGTGGTCTTTTAAACACGGACCAGTCTCCGTACATTTTTCAATATGTTCTGATATTGATTCTTTTTCCATTCTACCTCTTATAACTCTTTTTCTTTTGGTCATAGAGAAGTTTGCAGTCAAATCTATCAACTCAATTACCCTGTCTCTGGCCTGAGCTCTGTTCCTCAATGTTAAGAAAACTCCCTCTCAGCCAGGCACAGTGGCTCACACCTGTAATCTTACACTGTGGGAGGCTGTGGTAGGAGGATTTCTTGGGCTCAGGAGTTTGAGGTTGTAGAAATGTGGCAAGGAAATGAAAAATAAGCTTGGAGCCCATTGTAGAAAGCAAGAGAATGCCAAAAAAATCAAAGGGCCAGGTGCAGTGGCTCACACCTCTTGCCCCAGCAACCTGGGAGCCCAGATACCGACACCTGCCCATGCCCTTCCAGAAGGACCTGTGGGCCCCACCTCGTCCCTCCCCGGGCTGTGCAGTGGCACCAGCACTGAGCAAAGGTGTGCCCAGAGCTGTGTGTTGTAGCCACACCATCCCATCAGCTGGGATAGGCCAGCGAGTGTACCAGGCCTAAAAAGCCGGATACAAAGGTGCAACTGGACAACACACATGCTGGCCACGTGAACAGCGCACGATGCGGCCCCTCAGGCCTGGCCCTGCAGTGATGAGGCTTGAGGATAGGCCCGCAGGCTGCCGGCCACTCTAGGGCAAGGGGACCTGAGGTGGTGGGGCTGTGTGCAGAGACTGCGGAGAGGGACCTGGAGCTGAGAGCCTCCCAGTAGCTCTGGAAGGGGCAGGTGGACCCACCTCGCGTCGTGGGCAGCATGTCTGAGAGCCCCTGCCATGCTGTCACCATCTCTGGGTTCTTTTCCAAGTCAGCAAAGTTCTTCCAGACCCTAATGGCACCATCATCTGTGAAGAAAGGAGGGAAGGACATAACCCTGGGCCCTGCACTGGCCTTGTCTGTGCCCTGCGTGCAGAGGTCACCCTGGTGGACACACTGCAAATAAGAGACTCATGGTGGCTCCAGTTCTGTGGATGCCTCAGGTGCACAACCTGGGTGACCTGGGAAGGGCCACAGTAAGGGGGCACGAGGCCCATGGTCTCTTCTGGCCACTGGCTGATGGAACTGAGCTGGGTGCCACTCCCTGTCAGGAGGAAGGAGGGACAGAGCTTGGCTGGGGACACGGCCACCTCTGCTGCTCCCCCAGCTAGCATCCAGTGCCCAGGAGACATATAAGCTGGGTCACACACAGTACAAACTCCGCAGGAGTGTCATCCTCCCTCCGCCACGTGCCATCTGAGCTCCACGCACAAATCAGCCCTGGATTTCAGACATGGCAGGTCAGCAGGTTCTCAGGATCAATGAGTGTGTGGGGTCGGGGCAGACAGGTGGGGAGGAGCCTGTGTGTGAGAGACAGTGTGTGGCTGCTCTGAGCCTGCATCCTAGGACCCCTGCTTGCTGACCTCCTAGCCCTTCCCTTGGGGATGTCTTCAGCCAGCCCAGCCCTGGAGGTGATGACCCAGCTCCCTAACCCCTGCTCCATCTGGCGCTCTCCCTGCTCTGCAAGCAGAACTGGAGCCTCCCACAGCTTCCCTCATCTCTTGCTGTGGAGGACACCCCCCCCATTTGTCCCCTCCTCTTTGGTGCTCAGAGATGCTGGAGTCTGACTCATCCTAAGTCTCTGATGAGCCTCCCTGGCCCCTCACGTTGTCCACACGGTCCCCTCCTGCTCACAGCCTGGTGCCTGCAGCAAAAGTGGCTTTGGACATTGGCTTGATGCTGCCTGATTTTGAGGGGTCCCGCTCAGAGGAGTGATTGCCAGGAGGACACGTCCCCAGGGCCAGACCCCTCACAGGGGCCACAGGCACTTTGAAAGAGGAGAGGGGTGCAAGCTCAGTACCAACAGTCTCAGGGCTCAGATGCTGGAGCCAGGCCGGGCAATGGTGTGGAGGCTCGAAGGAGCTGTCTGTCACCTCCTGCCCAACCTCACATGTGCCTGACCTCATGGGGAAGGTTAGTTTGGCAGGCAGGACCTCTCATCAGTGAGGGGGCGGTAGAACCACGTTTTTTTTTGAAGCAGAGTCTCAAGCTGTCACCCTAGGTGTAGAGTGCTTGGTGTCATCGCTCACAGCAACCTCCAACTGTTGGGCTCAAGCAATCGTCTTGCCTCAGTTTTTTTAGCTGTCCTGGGCTGGGTTCGAACCTACCACCCTCAGCATATGTGGCTGGTGCCCTGCTGACTGAGCTACAGGTGCTGCTGGAACCACATTTTTAAGAGGCTAAAGGAAAATGACTGTTAGGGCAGGGCGCCTGACTGGAAAACTATAAGGGAGTGAACTCGGGAGGCTGAGGTGAGAGGTTGGCTGGAGGCCAGGAGTTCAAGACCAGCCTGGGCAACACCACCAGGCTGATCTCTAAAAAATAGATAATATAAAAGGAAGAAGTCTGGGTGGCGCCTGTGGCTCAAGGAGTAGGGCGCCAGCCCCATATATCAGAGGTGGTGGGTTCAAACCCGGTCCCGGCCAAAAACTGCAAATAAATAAATAAAATTAAAAAAAAAACAAAAGGAAGAACTCTAAGACTGAGATTAAGATATTACAGAAATTAAGAAACAAATAAAACAGAAAAACCCGGAGTGAGATCCACTGCTAGGAACGAACTGCCAAGGTGCAGCTGCCATCCGGGCAGGAGCAGAGGGGCTGAACAGACGGCAGGACCAGTGGACAGAGAGACCCCGGCTGCAGAGGCCTCAGCCACCAGTGAGGCTTGGGGTGCTTTTCCCTCACTCCTGGGGGCCACAAAAGCTTTTCTTAGTCACAGACTGTTGGGGCACATGAGAGAAGATATGGCCCCAGAACCCTGGTCACCTTGCCCTCCATCTGTGAGCTGTAGCCCATTTCCTCTGAGTAGCTGTGGCCATCGTCTATCCATGTGTCCTGGGGGTCTCAGGACTTCGCCCTGGCCCTGCCACCTGCTCCAAGCTCTGGGTTTGGGTTCTGGTCACACGAGCCCCCACTCACCTGTAGCTGTGAGCAGCAGTGAGCAGTCCTGGCCATTCAGGTACTCCATGGCAGTGACGCGTGTGTATCGGGGGTTGCCATTGTGGAAATAGTCCAGCTTTTCCCCTTTCTCCCAGTCCCAAAAACTTAAGAGAATGAGAGAAATAAGTCATTAGGGAGAGGTAAACCAGCCCACATGGAGGCACGGCCTCACCCCTCAGGATGACGCTGTCGGACCACAGGAAGCAGAACCAGTGGCGATGGCACCTGGAGTCCCAGCTGCTCGGGAGGCTGCGCTGGGACTGTCCTTGAGCCTAGGAGCTCGAGACCAGCCTGGGCAGCACAGTGAGATCCTATCTCTTAAAAAAATAAGAAAGAAAAGAAAAAGACAGTAACAGGTTTCAGTGAGGTGGAGGGTGTGGGGGACTGGAAGCCCTATGCTCCTAAGAAAATTAGGCATCATGTTACTGTACAACCAGCAATTGCACTTCCAGGCATATACCCAGAGGGACTGAAGACAGGAATCTGGGCAGGTACTGGTGCGCCCCAGTTCACAGCAATGCTACTTTAGCCAGGAGGCTGGCTTATACCTAGGTGTCCACCAGCAGAAGAAAGAGGTAAAAAAACGGCCCATCCATACAGTGAAATTATCCAGCCATAGCAAGGGAATCCTGTCACTCACCCCAGGATGGATAAAAGGACCTTACACTGAATGACACAAAAGGATAAACGCTATAGGATCCCACTGCCTGGCCCTGGAGCTGTGCACTTCAGAGGCGGGAAGCACAGAGGAGGCTGCAGGAGGCAGGGGGAGAGGAGTTGGCATTTCCTAGGGAGGAGTTTCAGTTTTGCAAATTAAAAAAGGTTTCTGAGAGGACTGATGGTGAGGAGTCATGCTGTGTATGTCTCACCCCAACTTGAGAGAGAGGAAGCCGAGGAATCAGAACAGGCTTTGGGAGTCCCCCACTGGCCTCCCAGGAAGGGGGTGCTCCTCTGACACTGAGTTGGCACTTTTTACAAATTGAACTCAGTTCTTTCTTTGACAGCTGCTGTCTTCTGTCACACAGGCTTCAGTGAGCCCTCATCCCCACCCCTGCCCTGTGGCCTGAGCCCCACCCATCAGTGATGAGGCCAGAAGAGCATCCTGGAGCAGGCAGGGCCAGGCCACAGGGGAAGTCGGCAGGGACATTTTCCACCTGAAATAGCACCAAGGGCTTCAGAGCAGGAGGAAGTGCAGGTGGTGACAGGGAGGAAACGGGAGCTGCAGGCTTGGGCTGACAGCCAGGGGAGGGTGGGTCCCGACATGCTGTGCCTACCAGATGCTGTCCTTGTCGGCTACGGCTATACACGGGGTGAAGGGATGAAATTTGACCACGGAGGGGACACCAGGGTTCCTGTTCAGAAATATCTGGTCATCCAGTCTCGTGATACCTACCAGAAGAAACACAGAAGCAGACTCAGGCGCTGGTCTAACCAACAATGACAGTGTATTTCCCAAGGAGGGGCAAAGCGCATAGCAGAACTCGCACCCACTCAGGCATCAGCACCCACCATGATCTGAGGGAGGGCCTGGGCTATGCCTTTGTTTAGACACCCCCTCCCCACGCTCCCCACATGACACTGGCCACCTGTCACCTCATACACCAGAGATCTTATCAGAAATGTATCTGGCTAAGGCTGTAATAAGTCCTAAAGGTGCAGAATAAAGCTTCTTATGCATGGCCTGACTGGTGGCACAGACTCAGGGCTGGACATAGTAGGGTACAGTCACTGCTGCCCACAGCCCAGAGCACTTCAGAGGGAAATCTGTGGATGTGAGGAGGCACAGAATAGCATTTTGAAGGCAGTGCCGGCCACTCCGTGTCACAGGCACCTCAGTGCTCACTGAGCCAAGGCGTGTGCCCAGCTCTGTGTCACAGGGAGGGGAGTACCTTACAAGCCCTCACCTCCAGCTGCAAAAAGTCACTGCCATGATCTTTGGAATGTTTTAGAACCGAGAGGCAAGGTCAAGACAGTAAATCTGGGGCAGAGCCTGCAGCTCAAGTAGGGCACCAGCCCTATATACCGGGAGTGGTGGATTCAACCTCAGTCCCAGCCAAAACTGCCAAAAAAAATCTTGGGTGGCACCTGTGGCTCAGTGGGTAGGGTGCTCCATATACTGAGGTGGCAGGTTTGAACCCGGCCCTGGAAAAACTGCAACAAAAAAATAGTTGCGCATTGTGGCAGGCGCCTATGGTCCCAGCTACTTAGGAGGCTCAGGCAAAAGAATCGCCTAAGCCCAAGAGCTGGAGGTTGCTGTGAGCTGTGATGCCACAGCACTGTACCGAGGGCGACAGGTAGACTCTTGTCTCTTAAAAAAAAAAACAAAAAAAAACCTGGTAAATCTGTGAACTGGAGAAAGGGCCCGGATGACCAACTGTGCTGGGCTGGCTGGGGGAAGACTCAGGTCCCCACTGGGGCTGGTTCAGTGGGGCCAGGACACAGCAGCATGTCTGCATGGAGACCATGCCCAGTCATGCTGCTGATCCACACCTCCTTCTCTGGCAGGGATAAGGCAGGGCCTCTGTGTGGTGCGAGGGCCTCCCTGACGAGTGTGCCCTCTGTGGTGGGCACCTGCAGCCTGGTCTCTGCAGCAGGGTACTCCCTTTTGTGTCCCTCTGTGGCAGCACACCTGCTGGTCATGCCTGCTCCTCAGTAGCTCATGGACCCATTGCCCCGTTGAGGTAGAGAGAGAAAGCAATCTGGCAGGAATGCCATGGCACCAGGACATCCCTGTCAGGTTGGTGTGATGTGGACTCCAGGGGCTTGGGAAGGCCTTATTCCTTCCCTTCTGGAAATCTCAAAGCCCCAAAGTTTTACTTCTCTGAGAGGCTATAGTTAGCCAAGGCCTCACCGCTATGGATAACCAAGAGACCTCAAATCACCCTTGAAGGTGAGGAAGTAGGGTCCTGGGGGCCCTACCTCAATGACTTCCAGACGTGACTTCATCTCTACCACCCTCATTTCCTTATCTATAAAGTTCGAGGCAGGCTGTCGTGGGGCAGGTGCTGGGCAAGGTCACGTGTGTGCCAGCATGGAGCCTGCTTAGGCACGGATGTGTGCAGCTCAACCTTCTGGGTGACCTGCTGGCCTGTGTGCTGCTCACCTTCTGGGTGACCTGCTAACCCTCTGGGTGGCCTGCTGAGCCCTGCTGCTCACCTTTCTGGATGACCTGCTGGGCCTGCTTCCTGACACGGCTGTTCCGCAGGAAGCGCCATTCCCGTTCCTTGCGGATCTGACTCTCAAGGTCATGTTCTTCCGGGATCTTTAAGAGGAGAAAAGATCATTTAGTAAGTTTAGCAAGTACAAAGCATGGCTGTTCCTCAGTACCCGGGGAGAACTAGGGTCCAGGCCCCCATGGACATCCACATCGCGAGTGTGTGTCTCTGACAGAGATGGTGCAGCATTTGCATTTGACCTAAGCACAGCCTCCTGCACACTTCTAGTCATTCCTAGAGTGGAATTTACAGTGCCCAACACAACTACTATTATGCAAATGGTTGTTATTCTGTTGTTTTCTGATTTGTAGTATTTTTATTGCTGTATTATTTTTTAGTTTTGAGTACTTTTCATCCCCAGTTGGTTGACTCTGTGGACATGGAACCTGCAGATATGCAGGGCTGGTTGTGGTTACGCTCTAGAGAAAGGCTTCTCTTCCCCAAGTGTTGAAGGCCCTCATGGCCCGCATGTGCAGGCCCACTTCCAGTGGAGGCCTGCAGAGGTGAGGCTGACATGCGTGGGGTGGGCAGTAGGAAAACGCACAAGCTCCAGAGGGCCTAGGGCTGGCCTGATGCCCAGGGAGCACACGGAAGTGGTGGAGGCCCCAAGTGACAGGGAGCAAGGGGTGAGCAGGCGCTGAATGTGCTGCTCCCAGCACTGGAAACACAAACTGTAACACACAATGTGCTCAGGGAGCCTTCGCCTTACTCTTTCTCTGATACCAGAGGGAGCTGGCATTTAGCTGGAAGACAGGAGCTCTTAGAAGAAAGAAGGAAGAAGGAGAGGCCAGGCTAGGTCCTCGGAGGGCAGAGAGACCTTCCTGGGGCAGCTGCTATGCAGTTCTCACCTGATACTGTTGGGGGTGGCCACTGGGCCCCACGTGGGTGGAAGCATTAATCAGAAGAACTAAGTTTATTGCCATTAGAAAGACATGGTAGTTAGGAAAGTGGACATTTCTCTATGGCGTGAGCCTGGGGGGGCATGGGCGAGTGTGTGCAGGTGTGCAAACCCACATCTAGGAGAGGGCTACACTTGCCAAATACAAGGCTAGGATTTAATCTCCCTTATTCACAAGTACAATCACTGCTCTGTAACACAGATATGCTTCTTTAGTCATATGTGCCATGGGGCATATTTGGCTGACTCTGATTCCCTAAGAGTTATAAAGTCCCCAAGTCAGAGTCTCACTTTATGGCCCTCGGTAGAGTGCCATGGCGTCACAGCTCACAGCAACCTCCAACTCTTGGGCTTAGGCGATTCTCTTAGGCGATACTCAGCCTCCCGAGTAGCTGGGACTACAGGCACCTGCCATAGCGCCCAGCTATTTTTTTGTTGCAGTTTGGCCAGGGCCGGGCTCGAACCCACCACCCTCTGTATATGGGGCCGGCACCCTCCCCACTGAGCCACAGGTGCCATCCGCTTTTTCTTCTTAAAAGTCATAAAACCACACCCATCAAAATAACAAGGACAGCAAAAAAGACACCCAAACCCAGAGACAACAACAAAAGGTGTCCAGTGCCACCCTCAGAACACTGGTGGGTTCAGAAATAAGCCTACTGGGGCAAACGGGGCAGACTGTGGATTCTTAGTAATTGGTTTCATTTTATGACAATCCAGAGCTTAAAAGAGATGACAAATGGATAAAACCCTAGACAAGAGGCTTAAAGTCGACACAGGGTTGTAGAGATTGCACTTTAATGAAACGCCATTCCCTGGGAGATGAGCCTGGAAGGCAGCCTGGGCCTGGGTCCCGCACACCCCACCACTCCCTGGTGAAGAATCAGACACGGGGAACTCAGAGCCTGTGCCCCAGGATGACAGAGAGGATGACTGTGAGGGATGAGGAAGCTGGGGGTGGCGGTGCAAACAGCAGCTAGGCAAAGGCTGGGGGGTCGTGTGCACTGTCACACCCCCTGCCTAGCTGTGAAAGGACTTTCGGAATAGAACGGTGACGTTGACATGGTTCTGGAGCCACCCTGTGGGCCTGTCTCAGGACAAACACAGGCAGAAATGGAGGCTGGAGCAGCACAAGGTGGGGATGTGACTGCAGACCCTCAGGACAGAGGGGCAGATGCCTCCCTCAGCGGCAGGTCCCATCCTCCCTGCTTCTCTCCCCCCCCACCCCCCTCCCGGTAAACAAGCCCCCAGACCTTCTCTGGGTGAGCCTCCCAGGAGTATAGCTCAGGGCTGTGGGTGGGTGTTGGGAACAGCCTCACTTGATTGGGGTCAGCACTCCCTGGGCTCCTAACACCTCTTGGCTTCACTCAGACAGAAACCAATTACATTTTGCAGCCTCCCACAGAGACTCAGCTCCTCTCCAGCTGCAAAGGAAATCTTGGGGCTCAGCGACAAAGGAAGATTAGAGGGTCCCCAGAAGACTTACAGGAGGTGGCAATTTGGGGCATGTTCAGAGTCAGTCCTCACGCAGAGTATAGGTGGATCCCAGGGCTCAGTCTCCTCTTCAATCCCTCCAAATTTAAACAGGTTCAAGGCGTGGGGGGTAGAATTCAGAGCAGGTACATGGCTACCACGATGGGGAGGACATGGGCAAGGACACGGAAGGAACAGGGACAGCTTGCTGACATGACTGTGGAGCCTCAGACTCTGAGCTCCTTCAGCCTCTTCCATTAAACACAGCGGTGTTCTGATTACATGACGCGGAAACAATTTTGCCTGTTACTTGCTTTTCACTGTGGTATTTCTATTATTTCCCCCCCTTTCAACAAGTTACTCTTATAACAGGAGTCATCCCTCCACACAGACAGGCAGCCTGTGCCCAGGCGACTCACCTGTGTACGTCCAAGGAAACACCCAGCTATAAGGACCTGGCCACTGTGTCACTCATGTCTAAGTATGAGTTTGCATTGTCTAATTATGCTTTTCACTAAGTGTGATTTCAACACAGGAGAGAAAAACGTTTCTTTCCCCAGAAGCCTGTTGATTGAAAGGGAATTCACATGAAGTGAATTTCACCCTCTTCAGCTTCACTTCTGAGTTTTGACACTGCTCGTGGACATCAGGGTCCCCCCACCCCAGGGCTTTCTGTTCCCCTCTCTCCTACTCTTCCCTTCAGCCCCATCCCTGGCAACCAGTTTCCTGTCCCTGCTGTTCTGCCTTTTCTAGAACGCTATGTAAACAGGTCACAGAGTACCAGCTTTCCAAGTGGCTTCTTCCATTTAGCCTGTGAGGCTCACCCCTGCAGTTTAGATTTTTCCTGACTAGTGTTTCACTCTTTGGCCACTTCACATTTAACTATTCTACCAGAGGGACATCTGGGTCCTGTCTAGTTGTGGTGACTGAATAAAGCCACAATAAATATTCACACAGGGACCTCCCAACGAACACGAGGCTTTGCTTCTTTTGGTGGGTGCCCAGGAATGCAGCGCTGGCTGCGCATTTAACCTTACAGGAGAGACAGCCCAACCCGCTGCGCTGCCTGGTGTGTGCACAGCTGCGCCTGAGCACAGACGGCACCCTTGGTCCGCACTCGGCAGTTGTGAGAGTGCTGTGCACTTGCAGATCTGCACCAGACGCCTTTACAGCTGTGATCTGTGGCTGGTCTTTTTGTTTTGTAAACGGTTTTTCCAAAGCAGTGTTTCATTTTGATGAAGTCCAATTTGTGGTTTTATTTTTCTTTTATGACTTGTGTTTTTTTTGTATCTTATTAAAGAAGGCATTGCCCAAGCTGAGGTCAGAAAGATTTTTTCCCATTTCCTTCCAGAAGTTTTTCAGTTTTGGGTTCACATTTGGTGCAGCTGTGGCAAATTGGGCTGCGCTCAGACTGCCCGGCCAGGCTCATCTTTCTATCAGGGTGTCTGCTCAGTGCCCCAGCACACTCAAAAGGACTGTCTTCTCTCCATGGCACTGGATGGTCTTTGCACCTTTGGAGGAAATCAAGAGAACATACTTGTGTAGATCTATTTCTGAGTGCTCTGGCAGCTCCACCGAGTGGTGCGCACCCTTCCACCAGTGCCCCGTCTGTGGCGCTTCAGCCTGCTCCACACAGAGGCGCGTGCCCTTCCGCCAGTGCCTGGCCCGTAAGGCTTCAACCTGCTCCTCTGAGGGGTGTGCGCCCTTCCACCAGGGCCCGGCCTGTGAGGCTTCAGCCTGTTCCTCCGAGGGGTGCGCGCCCTTCCACCAGGGCCCCGTCTGTGGCGCTTCAGCCTGCTCCTCCGAAGGGTGTGCGCCCTTCCACCAGGGCCCCGTCTGTGGCGCTTCAGCCTGCTCCACCGAGGGGTGCGTGCTCTTCCACCAGGGCCCAGCCCGTGAGGCTTCAGCCTGCTCCTCCGAGGGGTGCGTGCCCTTCCACCAGGGCATGCCCCAGGCCACTTTTAACTTGCTCCTTCAGGTTACATAGTGGGAGCCTTTCAGATTTCATCAGCCTTTCATCTATTTCAGATTTGTTTTAGTTATGTTAGTTTCTTTGCTTTCCCCCATAAATTCCATAATAAATTTGGTGGGTTTCACTGAAAAATCCTATGAAGATTTGACTGGAACTCCATTGATCATTGTATCGATTCAGGAGAGCTAAGGCCTTAACATTATCAGTGCTCTGGGCCACTAGTACCGTCTTCGTTTATGATTCCTTCTGATTTCTTTCACCCACTTTGTATATTTTTTAGCATGTAGATCTTGCACATTATAAGATTTATATTTAAATATTTCATGATTTTTTTTTAACGTGTGCTACTGTTGTAAATGGTACTGATACTAAATTTTAGATCCTCACAGAGAAAAGCAACTGATTTTTGTAATAATGACCCTGTTAATACCATGTGGAAGATTTTGGGGCCATGTTCACAAAGAATATTGTTTGCAGGTTTTTATTCTTGTAACTTCTTTGTCTGGTTTTGGTATCAGAATAATATGCTGCCTTTATATGGTGATTTGGAAAGTGTCCATTCCTCTTTTATTTTCTGTAACAGACTGTGTAGAACTGGAATTATTTCTTCCTAAAAGATATGGTACAGGTTTTCTTTGTTGAAAGATTTTTAATTAAAAACTCATTTTCTTTCATAGCTAGACAAGGCCTGTTTGCCTATTTAT